TAAAAATAGAAAACCTGAGGCAAGAGGATCACTTGAGCCCAAGAGTTGGAGGCTGCTGTGAGCTAGGACATCATGGCACTCTACCCAGGACAACAGCTTGAGACTCTGTCTCAAAAAAAAAGAAGAAAGAAAGGAAAGAAAGTAAAGGAAGAAAGAAAGGAAAGGAAGAAAGGAAAGAAAGAGAGAAAGAAATAGAAAACCTGAATAGATCAATAATGAGTAACAAGATAAAAGCAGTAATACAAAGTTTCCCGTCAGTGAAAAGCCCAGGACAATGACCTTATTACCGACTCACTTCCAACAAACACTTAAAGAAACACTAATACCAACTAATACCAATTCTACTCAAAGTATTCAAAAAAAAAAATGAAGAGGAGGGAATACTTCCACATTCCTTCTATGAAGCTAGCATTACCCTGATACCAAAATCAGACAAAGACACCATACAAAAAAGAAAACCACAGGCCAATATCCCCTGAGCATAGATGCCTGTGTAAAAAACCTGAACAAAATACTAGCAAACAGAATCTAGGAACACATTAAAAAGATCATTTACCATGATCACATGTGAACATATGTTCATTAACAGAATCAAGAACAAAAACCATATAATCATTTCAATAGTTGTTGAAAAATCATTTGATAAAATTCAACATCCCTTTGTGATAAAACTCTTAATAAACTAAGCACAGAAAGCATATACCTCCAAACAATAAAGGCCCTATGTGACAAAGCCAAGCTAGCATACTAAATGGAGAAAAATGGAAAGCCTTTCTTCTAAGATCAAAAACAGGATAAGGGGATGGCGGCTGTGACTAAAAGGAGTAAGGTGCTGGCCCCATAAACCGGAGGGGCGGTTCAAACTTGGCCCCGGTCAAAAACTGCAAAAAAAAAAAGAAACAAGATAAGGATGCCCATTTTCACCACTTTTATTTGACATGGAACTAGAAGGCCTAGCCAGAGCAGTTAGACAAGAGAAAGAGAGAGAGTCAAAACTGGAAAAGAGGGCATGTGGGTGGCTCACGCCTGTAATCCTAGCACTGTGGAGGCCGAGGTGGGTGGACTGCCTGAGCTCACAGTTTTTGGGTTTTTTTTTTTTAGCTCATAGGTTTGAGACCAGCCTGAGAAAGAGTGAGACGCCTATCTAAAAATAGCCAGGTGTTGTGGCCGGTACCTGTAGTCCCAGCTACTCAGGAGGCTGAGGTATGAGAACAGCTTGAGCCCAAGAGCTGAGGTTGCTATGAGCTATGATGCCACAGCACTCTACCAAGGGTGACAAAATAAGATTCTGCCTCAAAAAAAAAAAAAAAAAAAGGAAAAGAAGGGTTAAACTGTCCTTGTTTTCAGATGATATGATCTTACATTTAGAAAAATCTAAGGACTCCACCAAAAAACTGTTTGAACTATTGTTAAAATCAGTAAAGTTGCAGGACACAAATCAACACAGAAGATCTCTACAATAAAAGCAATAAAACATCTACGGAAGAAATTGAAAAAGACACCCCTGGAAGGAGAGATATCTCAGGTGCATGGATTGGAAGAATTAATATTGTTAAAATGTCCATTCTAAGCAAAGCAATCTTCAGACTCAGTGCAATCCCTATAAATTACCAAAGAGGCCAGGTGTGGTGGCTCATGCCTGTAATCCCAGCACTTGGCCTTGAGGCCACGGCTGGAGGCCAGGAGTGGCCTGAATGACCAGCCAGAGTGGTATAGCAAGACCTAGTCACCATGAAAAATAAGAAAAATTAGCCAGGCATAGTAGTATGGCTTATATGGCCTATAGTTCTAGCCATTCTTCCTAAGGCTAGAGGATCACTTGAGCCCAGAAGTTTGCTTGAGGCTGCACTGATGAGCAATTGGTTATTATGGAATAACCAATTGAGCAATGATGGTGCCACTGCGTTTCTACTGAGGCAACAGAGTGAGAGTGAGATCTCGTCTCAAAAAAAAAAAAAAAATCCAAATCTAATGACATTCTTCACATAAATGGATAAACAATGACTTGACTTAAGGAGTTTGAGACCAGCCTGAGCAAAACTGAGAGCCCATCTCTAAAGAAAAATAGAAAAATCAGCAGGTGTTGTGCCGGGCACCGGTAGTCAGGAGGCAGAGGCAGGGGGATAGCTTGAGCCCAGGAGTTTGAGACTGCTGTGAGCTAGGCTGAGGCCACAGCATTCTAGCCTGGGCAATAGAGACTCTGCCTCAAATAAAAAGACACATAAGTTATCAACAAGTATAAGAAAAAATGATCACTAATCATCAGGGAAATGCAACTCAAAACCACAATGAGATGCCATCTCACCTCAGTCTCAATGACTGTAACTAAGATGACAGAAAATAACATCCTGGCAAGGATGTGGAGAAACAAGACCCTGGTACACTGCTGGGTGTGGGAATGGAATGTAAATCAGTATCGCCACCATGAAAAACATTATGGAGTTACTAAAAAAACTAAAAATAGAACTACCATATGATCCAACAATCCCACTGCTAAATTTATATCCAAAAGAAAGGAAATTAGTCTACCAAATACATAATCTACACTTCCTTTTTTTTTTTTTTTGAGACAGAGTCTCACTTTGTCACCCCCAGTAGAGTGCCCTGGAATGATATCACAGCAACAACATCTAATTTTGGGGCTCAAGCGATTCTCTTGCCTCAGCCTCCCGAGCAGCTGGGACTACAGGCACTGGCCACAATGCCCGGCTAGTTTTAGAGATGGGGTCTTGCTCTAGCTCAGTCTGGTCTGGAACTCATGAGCTCAGGCGATCTGCCCACCTCGGCCTCCCAAAGTGCTAGGATTACAGGTGTGAGCCACCGCATGCAGCCTAATCTACACTCTCATGTTTATTGTTTATTCACAATAACCAAGATATTCAATCTAAATCTCCATAAGTGAATTTAAAAAGTGGGGCTATACATAGTATACACACAAGGGAGTATTATTCAGCCATAAAAAAGAAGGAAATATGCCGTTTGCAGCAACATAGGTGGAACTGGAGGCCACTGTTAAGTGAAATAAACCAGGTACAGAAAGACAATATTTCGTGTTTCACATTCCTATGTAGGAGATTTTGAAAATGGGTCTCATGGAGGTAGGGAATAGAATGAATAAAATAGGAGAGTGGTGAAAGGGGTATGAGAGAGTTTGGTTAAAGTATAAAAAATATAGTTAGATAAAAGGAATAAGTCCTAGTATATAATTGTATAAAAAGGGCAATGGTAGTTACCAGTGTTTTACTGTATATTCAAAACAACTAGAAGTGAACATTTAGAATGTTCTCAACATAAGGAAATAAATGTTTGATGAGATGGATATCTCAATTACCCAGATTTGGTCATTCCACATTATATGCTTGTACCAAAATATCACACGAACCCCATAAATAGGCATAACTATTATGTACCCATAAAATTTTTTAAAAATATAAAACCAATGAAATATCGCCTCGCACCCATTAACATAAAGACAAGAGTTGGTGACGATGTGGAAAAAAAGGCAACCTGATACACTGTTCATGGGAATGTAAACTGATAACAACGATTAAGGAAAATGGTATGAAGATAGCTCAAAAAAGTTATAAATAGAAATATTCTATGATCTAGCAATCCCACTACTGGGTACATATCCAAAGGACATGAAATCAATTCCTCAAGGATTCCCATGTTCACGGCAGCAATATTCATAATAGTCAAGATAGGGAAACAACCTAAGTTTCCCGTGACAGATGAATGGATAATGAAATAGTGATATTCCATTTGATGCACATCTATATGCCAAATTAAAGTAATTGTGGAGTGGATATGCACACACAATGTAATTATTATTCAGTCTTAAAAAAGGAAATGTATTACAACATGTACGAACCTGGAAAACGTTATGCTAAGAGAAATAGGCCAGACAAAAAAACACTACACAATCCCTCCTGTATGTGGAAGCTGTATCGTATACTTGAAATTTGCTAAGAGTAAGTCTTAACTGTTATCACCACACACAAAAACATAGTAATTACGTCAAGATGTATATGATAATCAGCTTGACTGCAAAAATCAGTTCACTAAGAACACTGAAATCTTAAATACATACGAAAATAAGTAGAAGAAATGTAATTCATTCCCTCTATCTCAGTAATCTCTCATTTTCTCTATTTTTCTTCATAATTTACCATTTCCTGAAATACATTCCCATTCGTTCATTCCTTCCTCCATTAGAAAACACGCTCTATGAGAACAAAACTTTGGTCTGTCTTAATAACCACTGTAGTCTTATGACACCCAGAATATACAGCGTTTTCACGGTCAGGTTCTAAGTGGATCGTTAAAAACGAGTCATTTGTTTCCTAACACCACACTCGCTGCCTGGCCCACGTGGTTAATACTGTTTGCTCAATAAACGAATGAATGAAGTGAAAGGGAAAGGCGGTGACATTTGCATTATTAGATAAGAAAACGAGGCTGGGAAAACAAGCGTCTGGACCCCTCCACTCGCATGGAGACCCGCATTGAAACTCCTGAACTCCGGACCCCAGCGCACTTTCCCGTCCTTCCCCTGAGCAGTCGTAAGATCACTCCCTTCTGAACTGGTCCCTTCATCCTCAGTTTCTCTCTCTACTTTCTGTGCGCAAACCTTCAGCTTTACCTGAAACGAGACCAAAATTGTCTGCGTGGCGCCCCTGAAACTATCCACAGGAAGCCTTTTCTGGTAAAGGTAGACACAGACAGCGCAGCCATCTTGGAGAACAGCACCGCCCTGCGCTCAGCTCCGAGCCGACAGTGGCGCGCCTAGACTAACCAATAGGATTAAGCTGTGGCATCTCTTTTTCCTATCACCGCCCCCCCTCCCTTTGCACCACGGGAAATGTAGTCCAGTAGCCCTCGCCGGCGGAGGCGGGACCACGGCGCGCTCTCGAAGCATGACGGGAGTTGTAGTTGAGGGGCGTCCCAAGATAGATCTGGGTGACGCCTTCTGGTCCGGGGGCGGGCGGTCATAACATTGCTTGTCTGAAAGGAGGAGGAACTGGCTTTGGGGAGGAGGGCTCTAGCGAGGCCTGAAAGGCTGCGCAGCCAGGCAAGGGAAGGTGTTGGGGATTTGGGGTTCGGGGTTGGAGGGCAGGCAGGGAGAGCGTCAGATATGTTGCTGGGGTGATCGTCTAGGGACAGAGGCAGGCGCTGGCTAGACCCAGCCGGGAAGCCTTGTCTTCGTGGGGCCTAATTTCCAGTAGCCGGGTAGGCCTCACCAGAGGCAAGATCTTTTCCGTGCGGCAGCCCCGGGTTCCTATCCCCATTCTCTGGCTGGGAGATGGCTTCCCCGAGCCCCTCGCCGGAGCCAAAGGTAAGTAAGTGCCTGTGGGGATCCCCGTTGTCTGACCACTACCCTAGGTAGGCCTCATCACCGCTCCCCTCACCCTCCACCCACCTCATGACTGCCTTCTTTAGGGCCTGTACCGTGTGAGGATCCCCAGCATCCCTAGTTTTCTGGGGTGTTATTCGCAAACTGCCCTCTGGCTCCTCCTTTTCCAAGAGAAAGTTGATAAACTAGCTTAAGAAAATTACTAATGCTCCAAGCTAACTCTCATTTGTGAATTCCTCCAAGTGAGGCACTATTTTTGACCTTTCCCCGTGTCTTGTGCACCTGGCACTATGCTTGGATACAAAGTATATGCTTAGGGAACCTGAATGAATTGAATTGGGTCACAAACCAGCACGAATGGAGAATTGGAGCAGAGCAATGAGGTAAGGGAAGCTTGGAGGGGCCTTGGGACAGTTTACTAAAAGTATTAGGGTATAATCATTAACCCCCCCCCCCAAAATCTTATCCTCAGGTCCTCCAGTTCAGAGAACAAGGATCCAGTTCCATTATCGTCGAATCTGGGACCATCACTTAGCAGTCGGGTCCCAGAATTGGGCTCCGTATGGAACTCTTAGTTACCATGTTCCTCCTAGCCTACCTGGTCCTGATAGGTGATTGCTTCTGCCACTTTGAATAGTAGAACTGTCCTTTAGACAAAAGAAACTGACTGCAGAAATCATACTATTTCAGGGGTTGCTGACATTTGAGGATGTGGCTGTGTTTTTTACCCAGGAGGAGTGGGATTATCTGGATCCAGCTCAGAGAAGCCTGTATAAAGATGTCATGATGGAGAATTATGGAAACCTGGTCGCGCTGGGTAAGACTCTCCACTTCCTCTAATTAAAATACCTAAGAAGATAGTAGAAATCAGACTCTGAGAACACTTGGACCAAAATCAGTATCAAAATTGCTTTATTCCAAAGTTTTGATTTAAACCTTTCAGCCTTTACTTGTTTCCATGACTCTTATCCCTAGCTTCCTTGCAGTGACTAAGATGCAAACCTTTCTGGCTTCCTGTCTTCATAATCTCATTCCCATATTGCTCTGTACTTTCCCTCCTGGCTCATCCTCCCACTGCTTTCCTCCCACTTCTTTTCACTCTGCCTTCTGGAGCCCCTGTTCCTCTTCACATAATGTTCCTTACCCCTCCTGGCCCTAAGTGAAACCTGGCTCTTTCCCAAGGACACCACTTCTCTGGCAGTCCTTCAAGTGGGGGCTGCTTATTCTCCCACATCCTCCTCCTTCTCCATCCTTTGTCTCAAAGCTGACAGGGAGAAGTTATTGTTCTTTCAGCTTTTCAGCGCTGTTCCCAGAGCATTAGTTTTCCATCTTCCAAAAAATCTCTCCTACTTTGAGGCCTCAGCAGTCTTGCTCTGCCCACTCAATTCCTTTTCACTATCATCTGTCAACTTTTTTATGATCCTTCACATATAACTTTGTCACGTTTTGCAGTCTTTTATACCTTACGTTATCAATGACCTAGTCGATACTTGAGCTTCAGTTGCTCTCAAACATACTGCCTTCAGGGACCCTGCTTTCCATTATTTTTCAGCAACTCATATACACACAATATTAGTGTAATAGGCAAATCTTAAACTCAAATATCCTATTCTCCAGTTAGATATTCAGGTAATACATGTTTATTGACTGTAACTAAACAAAGATAAACAAACCTGAATGTTTTCTGGCCTTGTAGAGCTTACTAGAGCTTTTCTTTCTATCTTTCCTGCTCCTTTCCACCTAAACTTATTCATTCTTAATGATGGTTCCTGTCCTTTAATATCTTTGTTTTTTCCACTAGGATGTCAGTCCTCCCCTGACTTCACCTCCCCATATAATCACTAGCACACTTTCTTGCCACCTTGTCATTGTGTTCTACCCATTCTGCAAACTCCAAATTCTGTATTTTTTAAATAAAATTCACCTTTTCTTGTCTCCTACTTGAGTTGCTAAACACAGCAGAAGAACCTCTCTAACTGAAAGAATTGATGTCCTATCTAAATGCATGGCTTTTTTCCTTCTAATCTCTGTTGGGGTTTTATATCTCAACAGTTTTTTTTTTTTTTTGTCTTGATATGCTCACCTTCCCGTTCCATTTAGCGACTATTCCAAAAATTTAAGAGTTTTCCTTGGGTCCATCTCTCAGTAGTTGACTTCACCTTCCTTTTATTTTTTTGCAGTTTTTGGCCAGGGCTGGGTTTGAATCTGCCACCTCCGGCATATGGGGCCAGCGCCCTACTCCTTAGAGCTACAGGCGCCACCGACTTCACCTTCCTTTTTGACAGAGAAAATAGAGGCTGCTAAGTGTGAAATCTCAACTTCTCCACTCCTCATCTGCACACTTAAAGCTGCTCCTGTCTTCTTACTTTTCAGAAACTTATCAACCATCTCCCCCTCCTCAATATCTTCAGTCTATTTTTTCTCTCTTGGTACCTTGATTCTAATAATCAGTATAGATTTGAATCTCCAATTGGGGAAAAGAGGAGAAGAAAGGAAAAAAAAAACACTTCTGGGAATAATAATTTCTCTTCTCCCTATAACTTGCTGCTCTTTTTCTTCACAGTCAAGTTTTTATAAGAATAGTTTTTAATGTGTTTTGTACTTCTTTACCCTCCCTTATCTCTGAGCCCCTTGGTCTTGTTTATAACACTGCCCTTAAATCGTTTAACACGGTTAACACAGAACAATTTAACACTGTTCACTCATTGTCAGATACAATGAGTTTTGGACCTTTTTTTTTGGCCTTATTCTATCCACTTCTTTATGAGTATGTGAAATTTTTTAGTGCTTCCCTCCATCATCTTGCATTCTCAGACTTTCTCCCAGACTATATGTTTTCCTTAGGGGACTTTACACTTCAGCAGTTACCACTGTGTGATGGTAAATCTCCAATCTTTATCTCCACCTAAGAAAGGAAGTGTAGAGCCTAACTGCCTAGATTCAAAAGCTGATTCTACCACTTGTTTAGCCTTGTGACTGCGAGTGACACTCTTAACTTCACTGTGCCTCAATTTGGTTTCTGTTTTGTTTTGTTGTGTTTTTTTATAAAATGGAAATAACAATAGCTGTGTCATAGGATTATTGTGAGCATTAACTGAGTTAATGTGTGTAAACATTTAGGACACTGACTAGCATGTGTAAGTACCATATAAGTGTGGATTTCTATCATCATCATCATTTTCCCTGTTAAACCTCAAATTCCTAGTCATATTTGAAGACCATGTAAGTTACTCACACCTGGCATGTCTCAATCTATTAAGACAGGAGTCCTCAAACTTTAAATAGGGAGCCAGGGCCAGTTCACTGTCCCTCAGACTGTTGGAGGGCTGGACTGCGGGCCCTGGGATGAGTTGGTTGCTAAGCAGGACAGGCAGCGGTGGCAAAAACACCCCATGGGCCACAGTTTAAGGACGCCTGTATTGAGATTTCATGGGCCTTCTCGTCAGAGTTAAGCACTATATTCTCTGCACTACCTTGTGTATGCCTCTGTTGAATTTATCACACTATACTATAGTCATTCTTTATGTGTTCTTTCTCTGACCTCATTGATCACCATGAGGACAGTAAATACGTTTTTCCATTTGACTTCTCCATTGAGAGGAATGGTTAAGGCACGGAGTTTGAGTTCTAGTGAGCTATGCTCTGTGCTCGAGTTACTGCTCTCCAGTCTGGGTAACACAGTGAGACCCTGTCCCCTCTGCCCCCCAAATAAAAACTTCTGATGGTTACTGATAGCTTAAAGGACAAAAATCTTGATTTCATATTCTGTTTTACTAGGTCCTCCCCAGTATAGACTCTGCCTAGCTTTCCATACCTCAGCTGTTATTTCCTGCACACCACTTCAGCCTGCAACCATATCACTGCTGATGTATTTATTGTTTTAAAATTCAGCATGATGTCTCTAAGTCACTGCCAGCTTATCCATACATATGGTATTCTGGCCGATAAAACCAGGCAAGTACCCAGCCTTGGCTGCCCATAATATACTGCAGGGTGTGAATACCATATGGACAAAGGTGTGGCGCTGAGCCCATCTGTAATTTGTACTTCAGGCACTCTTCTTCATTTCATCTTAAGTACAGCTTTCTGTCATTTAGTATTTCTCCTCCCCGATCTTTCTATGCTCCTCGCTAGTCCCTATCTTCATCCCCTTGATGAGTGCTCCCCTGAGAGACGACTTTGACTCTGCTGTTCTAATGTCATGTTCTTTTCCACTGCATCTTATTGCTTTTCATAATCTGCTCTCTTATAGCTTCATAATTTTGACTCTTCATTCCTACCTTTCCTTTCCATGCTGTTTTTATTTTTAAAAAAAAGACTTTAATAACTACATTGACCACACATGTGATAACTTGATCTGTTAATTCTTTGACCTCTTCAATTTTAATGGCTCCCTTTAGCTTACTTGGCCCTCATTGGCAGTCCTTGACAGAACTGGAACTTCTTACCTATAAGACCTGGAACTCATTGTTTTTCTTCTTTGGTTGTAGTCTCTCTTTAATTATTTATTCAGTTATTCATTCACTCAATAAATAGTTGTCAAATAGTGTGCTGGGCCCTAGAAATTCTAGTTCTCCATGCTCCCATTCTATAAACCAAGAAAACTGTTCATTTTATACTCTTTTGGATACTGAGATTGATAGGTATGGCCCACAAGCCAAATCTGACCCACTGCTAGTTTTATAAAGAAAGTTTTACCGAAACATGGACATGTCCATTCTATTATTATGTACTGTCTGTGATTACTTCATGGTACAGAGTAGACATAAAGTTTGTGTGCAATTTAAAATAGTTATAACTTTAAATTGAACATGAACTTTATATCTACCCTATATAATGTCAGAATCAAATAGTTACAACAGAGCCCATATGACTCACAAAGCCAAAAATATTTGTCTGGTTCTTTACTGAAAAAGCATGCTAAGTCCTATCCTAGCCTATCCTAAAGTTTATGTATATCCACTTTACTATTTCCTTGCCTTTTCTCTCTACTCTCAACAAGCTACTCTGTTATCAAAACTGGTTAAAGATTATAGAAATCCACTCAAACTAGCTTAAGGCAACAAGGGAAATCTTTATAGAGATCTCTTATAGAAGATATGAACATGATTATAGCTAGACATAGAAAAGGACTGAAACCAAAAATGGAATCTCAGAAAATTAGGAATTATTCTTCATCTTTGGGATTGCAGTTTGCTGTAACAAAATGCCATTTGCCTGGGTGGCTTAACCAGACATTTCTCTCACAGTTGGCACCTGGGAGGTCTAAGATCAAGGTGCTGGCAGACTCAGTTCCTGCCGAGACCTTCTCCTGCTTGTGAAAGGCCATCTTCTCACATGTTCTCATGTGGCAAAGGGAGAGAGAGAGCACACTGTGTTTTTCCCTCTTCTTATAGGAATACCATTCACTTCAGGGGGGCCCTACTCCCATGACCTCATCTAATTCTCATTACCTCCCAAAGGCTTCCCTTTCACATAGCTTACATTGAAGGTTAGGGCATCAGTGTATGAGGCTGGGGGTAAACACAAACATTCAGTCTGTAACCACCTTCTTTTGTGCTCTCTTTCCCCATGGTACACTAGTCCTTCCTCCTCATAGTCACATGCGTCTGTCCTTTTAGCTTCTGATTTGTAAGTTACAGTTTTAACTACATTCTGATTAAATAACTATTTCAGTTTCAATTCCAGATTCCTGGGAGAGACCCACTTTGCGTCATCTGTCCACTGTAGACAAATTAGCTGTAGCCACAGAATGGGACATTTTCATATAAGCATCACCAAGCCCAGATGTAGTGAATAGTCTTTTCAAGTCTGCTCTTTGTGGGGCTTACATTCATTTTCTTCACATGTCTATATTATTGTCCTATTTATTTTTATGCCAGTATCATTGTTTTATTTAACAACATATTATATTTTATGTCTGGTAAGATAAGTCATTCTTTAGCATTTTTTTTCAGAATGTATTTAACTGGTTGTCTATAGTCTTCCAATTAAGATTTAGATTTATTGGGATTTTTTTATTGGTCTGTATGATTTTTGATTGGAATATGATTACTTTCATAGATTTGTTTGGGAAGAATTAAGATCTTTATAATGTTGAATCTCTAAATTTAATTTAATTCTACTATTTATTTATTTATTTATTTCAAATTAATATGAGAGTACAAATGTTTAGGTTATGTTCTTTTCGTTTCTAAAGGTAAAGTTTAAGTTGTAGTTGAGTCCTTTACCCAGGGTGGTGTGCTGAACACCCTCACATTGTACACATAAGGTGAGATCCTGCCAGTCAACCTCCCTCATTCTCCCTCCTCTCTTTCTTCTCTCTCTTCCCCCTCACTAGATTATACTTGTGTTTTTTCTTTCATGTGGGCATATAGTTCATGTATTTGTTTCATATTAATAGTGAGTACATTAGATACTTTTTTTCCCATTCTTGAAATACTTTACTAATAAGAATGTGTTTCAACTCCATCCAGGTAAACACAAAAGATATAAAGTCTCTGTCTTTTTTTAATGCCTGAATAGTATTCCATGGTATACATATACGACAATTTGTTAATCTGGTCATGGGTTCATGGGCACTTGGATTGCTTGCACATCTTGGTAGTTGTGAATTGAGCTGTAATAAACGTTGTGGTGCAAATATCCTTGTGGTAAAATGATTTTGTTCTTCTGGGTAGCTACAATGGGATTGCGGGAACAAATGCAAAGTTGATTTTTAGTTCTTTGAGAATTCTCCATAATTCTTTCTGTAGAGGTTATATTAGTTTACAGTCCTACTAGCAGTGCAGAAGTGTTCCTAATCTTCACATCTACTTCAGCATCTGTAGATTTGGGACTTCGTGATGAGAACTAATCTCACTGGAGCAAGGTGGTATCTCTGAGTGTTTTTGATTTGCATTTCTCTTATGAACAGGGATGATGAGCATTTTTTCATGTGTTTGTTAGCCATTTGTCTGTCATCTTCAGAGAAGTTTATAATAAGAGAGTTTGAATCTCTTTAGCCATTGGTTGAGTCTATTTAGTTGTCCTTTTGTCTTTTTATGAATTATTTTTTGTTACTATTGTAAAGAACATTTTTCTGTAATATTTATTGGGTTTTTTTCATAGTAAAAGCCAGTTTTTTAGTCTTGTTGCTATTATAGATAAAATTGTTTTAAGAATTGTAGATAGACATTCATATTATCTTCAAGTAATGATAATTTTTATCTCATGTCTTTGAGCAAAACCCTGGAACAATATCCACTGAACAATAACATTATGAAGAGATTTTTTTTTTCCCTTCTCATAGAGTTTTAATCCAATGGAAGAGACAAACATGTAACAAAGTGTTATAGAGTACAGTGTAATAAAGGCTGTAATGGACAGGTGCTGATAATAAAAAATAGAAATCTGTCTACTAGATATGGTGAAGGCTTTGTAGAGAAACTGTTTCTTTAAACTGAATCTTAAGGAGAAACTGAGAGTTTTCCAGGTAAAGTATTGAGGGATATTTAGTAAGCAGGATCTGCAAAGATATGGCATGGAAAACTGTAAAACGAGCAACTTGCCTACATAAAGTATGACAGAGTAGGTAGGAAAGTGACTTGAGGCTTAGAGACTGTCATGAAGAGTTCTGAGTATCATAGTAGAGTCTTGATTTCATCTTGAAGGTGATAGCATGGATAGAATTCTGTTTTTGTAAGGATCTCTTCCAGAATCAGTGAGGCACATAAATTGCGAGGGCAGCCTGAAGACCAGAGTGAAGGATTATTAGATGGCCACATGAGTGTAACGGTTAAAGGGAGAAGATTGATGCTAGAGGGGAATGCATGATTTGGGAGATTGATTAAGAGTTAGAAAAAGGGAGAAATCTGGGATGATTTCCTCCTTTGGGATTTTAGGGTAATGGGTGGAGGTGCCTCTCAAGAGATAATTAGAGGTGACAAGACATAGAAGCAGATGATCATGTTAATTGTGAGCTCTTTGTGAAGCACATATATAAACCAAGTAAGGACATATATCTGGGTAACAATAACATGAAACAGTTCATAAAGGAAAATAAATAAATGAGGGAAATTTATCAGCAAAGGCCAATGAAGTAAGGGGGGAACTAAAAGAAAGTAATAGCATAAAAATCAGAAATGGGTAATGTAAGAAATGAGGGTGATTAACAGTATCAGCTGCTGCTGAATAAAATAAAGACTGAAAAATGCCAGTGTTACATTTTATTTGAAGGTCATTGGTGATTTAAGGAGAAGTTTTCCTCAATGCTGGAAACAAACTAAATTTCACAATAGGTTGTAGGGTAGATTGAATGGAAAAGTTTGAACATAGAAACCATGGGTAATAGGAAGCTACATTGTTAAGATTTTCTTTTTCCAAAAGTTGACTTTTCACCAAAAGAAGGATCCAGGTTCAAGATAAAGTTGGACATATTTATATCTTAGTAATAAGGTGGTCAATGGAGAGTATTAAAAGGAAAAGAATAGTGATGATTAAACAACTGCTGCAGGATCAAGAGGGTTAGCTTTGGATAGGAATATGGGCTATATGTTTATATACCATTGGCAGATACTTTTATAGGTAGAGGGCAGAAAGTTGAAGGAGTTCTTTTATCCTTTTTTATTGTGTGAAAGAAAATACAGTGCACTAAAAGTGAATTTTAGAGGAGACACTGTAAATAGCCTTAGAAGAAATCAAGTTTCTAATAGTTTTGTTAAAAGGAAGGAGTAAGAGAAAGTAGGCTTGTTGTTGTTTTTTTAAATAAAATAACTTGTTTGAAGTAAGTGAATAAAAAATTTAAAGATGACTTCCACAGTTAGAAGATTTGAAAATTAAGAGAAGGAAAGTATGAAAAGGAACTTATTTATTAGGCCAAATGTAAATTTGATAGTGATTGAATCTAAAATTACCTAACAGGCAATAATAGATGGAAAATCAGGAAGGAAATCAGAAGCAGGCTTAAGTGTCCTATATACCTTTCTGTTATGTAATAGACCAGTGATTTTCAACAGATGTGCCACATCACATTGGTCTGCCATGAGAGGATCTTTGGTGTGCCATGAAAATTTAAAGTAATCTTAATTAAATTATTTTCAAAAGAAGTTCAAAGCATACTAAGTATGTATTTTTTTTTAAAATCTACATTTTGATCAACATAATTTAAGTGTACCATGGAAGTTTTAACTATAGTTTCAAGTGTGCAGTAGGATAAAGAAGGTTGAAAAACACTGTCTTAAACAATTTTGTTTTCTTTTCCTCAGCACATGTAAGATTTTTATTTCTCAGATGTCATGATGGTTTTCAGTTGGAACAAGATGGTGAACCTTGGGTCTTATATCTAAAGTTTAAAAGTTTGACAATCATTTGTACTTGTAGTAGGACTTAATGGTAGGTGAAGTCATAAGCTACCACGGACCGCTCTTTTTTCCTTCATTTCTTCCATTAACTCTAACCATGTTCCTTTATACCTATTTTATTCAGTCACTTTATATCATAGATTCCATGTCATTTCAGTCCTTTTTGTTTTTTTTTTAAAAAAAGCTCTTTTGTCTCCATAGAGGAGCTACTTTTTATTTTTATCATATTATTTTCTTTCCCCTATTTTTACTCATCATCATACTCACCATTTGGTAGAGGGCTTCATGTCTTATCTCTGAATTCTGGCTCATCACATAGTGCCTGGAATGTTTTTAATGGGCAGCAAGTAAATTCTGGTTAATGAATGAATTATTGTTTCCACTGATTCTTTGTTTTTTATCCTTCTTAGCATCTTTTTTGTGTTTCTTTCTGTTAATTATTTGGTCTGTTTTCAGTCCAATAATGCTTTCTCACCCTAAATTTTCCTGAACTTACTGGTTTTGTTCTCTTCTTACTCTTTCTTCCTTGATAGACTGGTTAATCCCACCTTTTTTACTTGTTTTATTTTTGTTTGCCCATGTGACCTTGTATAATTCAGTGTTGATCTGCTAGCCCTTCATCCCAACTCTTCTTGCTCCTACTGTCTCTTTGCCTACTGAACCCTTTTTTCATGCCCTTTTTCATTGCATAGTCCAACATTAAATGTGTTAGCTTATTCTCTTTGCCAAGTGCTATTCTAAATGTTATTTATGTATATGAACCAATTTAATTCTCATAACAATACTGTGAGGTAGTAAAGTACATTTTATAGATATAGTAATTTATCCTAATTACCTTATTTTGTTTATTGTTTCTTGTTTCACCTTGCCATCAGAGAGCATGGCTAATGTTTGTATTTTTATTTGTTGTTCTAGATGTTTTGAACAGAGATAAGGATGAGGAGCCAACTGTGAAACAAGAAATTGAAGAAATTGAGCAAGAAGTGGAGCCACAAGGTGTAATAGTTACAAGAATAAAAAGTGAAATTGACCAGGATCCCATGGGTAGAGAAACATTTGAACTTGTTGGTAGATTGGATAAACAAAGAGGGATCTTCTTATGGGAAATACCAAGGGAATCTTTGACCCAAGAACAGAGAATGTTCAGAGGAAACACTAACATCCGTAGGAGACCAAACTCAGAAGAGAAGTGCCACAAATGTGAAGAATGTGGAAAGGGTTTTGTCCGCAAAGCCCATTTTATTCAACATCAAAGAGTCCATACTGGTGAGAAACCTTTTCAGTGCAATGAATGTGGGAAAAGTTTTAGTCGCAGTTCATTTGTTATTGAACATCAGAGAATTCACACTGGAGAAAGGCCCTATGAGTGTAACTACTGCGGAAAAACTTTCAGTGTGAGCTCAACCCTCATTAGACATCAGAGAATCCACACTGGAGAAAGACCTTATCAGTGTAATCAGTGTAAACAGAGCTTCAGCCAGAGAAGGAGCCTTGTTAAACATCAAAGAATTCATACAGGTGAGAAACCCCATAAATGTAGTGACTGTGGGAAAGCCTTCAGTTGGAAGTCACACCTTATTGAGCATCAGAGAACTCACACTGGTGAGAAACCCTATCACTGTACCAAATGTAAAAAAAGCTTTAGTCGAAATTCATTGCTTGTTGAGCATCAAAGAATTCACACTGGGGAAAGACCTCACAAATGTGGTGAATGTGGGAAAGCCTTTAGATTAAGTACATACCTTATACAACACCAAAAAATCCACACTGGTGAGAAGCCTTTCCTTTGTATTGAATGTGGAAAAAGCTTCAGCCGCAGCTCATTCCTTATCGAACATCAGAGGATCCACACTGGTGAAAGACCTTATCAGTGCAAAGAGTGTGGGAAAAGTTTCAGCCAGCTTTGCAACCTTACTCGTCATCAGAGAATTCACACAGGAGACAAACCCCATAAATGTGAGGAGTGTGGAAAAGCCTTTAGTAGAAGCTCAGGTCTCATTCAGCATCAGAGAATTCACACCAGGGAGAAGACTTACCCATACAATGAAACTAAGGACAGTTTTGATCCAAATTGTAGTCTTGTTATACAGCAGGAGGTGTACCCTAAGGAAAAATCTTATAAATGTGATGAATGTGGGAAAACTTTCAGTGTTAGTGCTCATCTTGTACAACATCAAAGAATCCACACTGGTGAAAAGCCTTACTTATGTACTGTTTGTGGAAAAAGCTTTAGTCGGAGCTCATTTCTTATTGAACATCAGAGAATCCACACTGGTGAGAGACCCTATCTGTGCAGACAGTGTGGCAAAAGCTTCAGTCAGCTATGTAATCTAATACGACATCAGGGTGTTCACACAGGCAATAAGCCCCATAAATGTGATGAATGTGGGAAGGCCTTTAGCCGGAACTCGGGTCTTATTCAGCATCAGAGAATACATACAGGAGAGAAACCTTATAAGTGTGAGAAGTGCGACAAAAGTTTCAGTCAACAGCGTAGTCTTGTCAACCATCAGAAGATCCATGCAGAGGTGAAAACCCAAGAAGCCCACGAATGTGATGCTTGTGGTGAAGCCTTCAATTGCCGCATTTCTCTCATTCAACATCAGAAATTGCACACTGCATGGATGCAGTAAATAGAGAAATATGTAAGCTCAAATATTTTATTTGAGACTACCCAAGTGCAGTTTTAATATGGCTCATCATGGGTCATATTTAGTGATAAAGTAGATTCTTCTTGGCCTCAGGCAAATGATTTCTAAAGATTGTGAATAGTGGACAATTGCCTATGGGCAGTTGAATTCCACTTCTTTTTGTTTTGATGATCAGAGACTTGGTAATATATCTAAGCATCTTTAACAAATCTTTCAGCAGAGAAGTTAAAGAGCACATTGGAGGTGCTCTAAAGGACAGAGTTGAACTAGCTGATGTTAGAAAACCAAGAATAATGATTACAAGAAGTCTTCTGGCCCCAGCTCATTGTTCTTTTGGTTCTATAATACGTTTGGCTGTGCATGCCAAAGTCCAGTGATTAAACATATATTGTTAAGGAAACAAAGCCCCAATGTTCTGAAACCAATACATGAACTTTTTGTCATTGTTTAAGGAAGTTAGTTATTTGACATGTGAGTTAAAAGCAGTTCCAATGCCTGGTGGATCCCAGATCAATGAAATGAGTGAACCATCAAAGATCATGTGAATAATTAGCAAACTTAGCAAAAGTGTTACCAAGGAACCTTTGGGAGTGCCTTTATATTTTCCCCTCCAAAAGTGGACAAAGGTATTTTTCTTTTGTGTCTTCCCACCTATGAAAGATACTTGTAATTCTCTATGAATAAGCTTATCCCTCCACAACCAGGAGCATGTGAAGTGTACATATTTTTATTACCAAGAATTAGAAATAAAAAAGACCTGGGTCTGTGCTAGGAAGCTGAGATATTTTGGTATTGCCTTGGTTTTTATGGTAACCAGATTTTGCATGCAATTTTTAAATCCTTATTTTTGGATCTAGGGTTTCCCTTAGTTAATGATTCTTATAAACCTATTAATTCATCTGTTTTGATCATTAAAACCTGTTGTTTTGTTGCTTTGTGTAAAGAGTACTTTGTTAGTGTAAAATCAATTCTGTCAAATACATTACTGTGTTTTTTAAATTAGAATCAAGGATTTGAAGGAAATTGTTCTCATTTGTTCTGTCTAACTTAATTCTTTCTGACTAGTTAACTTTTTCTGGAGTTGTTCACCTAAGGTTAAGTCTAGGTTCTTTAGTGCCTGACTATAGAATTTCAAATCACCAGAACTCTGCAATTCTATAATTTCCTAATGGTTTGGGCAAATGACCTCTCTTTCACTTATACCCCAGCTATTCTAAAAATCACCTCCAAACGTTTTTCCTCCCATATCTCTGCCTGAATGTAAATGTGGAGGTTATGGTACATGTATAGAGTGATACCTATCTCTGTGCACTCCCTATTCAATTTAGGTATCATAGTTACTGTACAGTTAACATTTCAGAACACAGCTTCTAGCTTGGTTAAAAGCACACAAAAATAACAAACTGCACCTGATTCCTCAATAAAATTATCTTGTCCTGAACTTTCCCAGTTTTATTTATTCTGTATTGGACCACTGTCCTAACTAAGACTGAGATTCTTAGACCTATGTTCAGTATTTTAAAAACTGAAATTTGTGATTTTGCTATATGCACACTGAAGTATTTGCTTTTTGTTGGAATTACATCACCTTGATGTATGGTTACCTGAGCAGAAACCCTGCCATTGTTGATTTCATAGTAATTTAGGTCCATGGTACTTATAATATTCCTCCATAATTTTTAACATTCTTGGATATGAATCCTAGAGTGACAGCTCAAAAGTCCGGCAGCAATAGTTAGTCCTTGACTATATAAATCATTACTTATATACATTAAAAAAAGCCCCCTCAAAAGTGATTATTTTAAAAAGAGAGAAAACCAGTTACATGTTCACTTCTGTTTCCCAAGAAAATGATGAAAACATGCTGAGTGCTCTTAAAAGTGAAATGAAGTGCCTAGAAAAGGAGGCAAGGAAAAAGTTTAATCTCAAGAGGAGGTGATGCTCAAGACTAAAGCGTCTTAAGATGAGAGTACCAGGGAAAGCAAATAGTGTCTGGAAATAATGACTTGTTAGAGAAACTGCTAGCTACAGGGTGAACTGGTTGCCTGGGGTCTTGGGAATGTGAGAGGAGGTAAGGCTGCTCTTAAGTAAGTGGAGATCACGAGAGTTGTTACGCTAAGGAGACTCTATTCTTCTGCCTAAAAATTTATGGGGATTTTGTATTTCAATATGCTGTATATATTAAAAGGGCACATACTTAAATATACAACTCTTGAGTTTTCACTATTAACCACCTATGTAACCAGCACCCAGCTTAAGAAAGAATGTCACTGGGTACCCCCAAACACTCCCCTTGTGCACCTTTCCAAGTACTACACACAGTGCACCCTGTGGTTCCTCTAGTTTAACTCCAGAGGCAATGTGAAGGTGAACTGGAGGGAAAGAATTTGGGACAATGGTTCTTGACTTTTGTTATAGCTGTGGATCCTCTCAGAAATTTGTACTTGTGGACTATTGTGTCAAGGACTTGTTTCTGTGTTAACCTCAAGAGATCTTTATGGTAGTATAATGGTTCAGAAATTAATGATACTTTGTTGTGTGAAGGGGTGCATGATGTGGAGTCGCAGAGGATAATGCCTGCAGTGAAATCCTATTGTGAATAAGGAAGATTACAAACTGTCTTTTGGCATGTAGCAAAGTTCTTTGTTTTCACTACAACTTATATAGGCCATACTGCAAGTACACACAATCAATAAACAAGTGACTCAAACCTCCTGACCCAGGCCCAGGACTGCCTGGTGCCAAGGAGTCCATTGATCAACTGATAACCATTCCACTAACCTTACCTAAAATCATTCTTAAACCCTACAATGAAAACAAGGCCACAAAACAGAGTTCTGGGGGAATAAGCTGATTGAATTCTTGACCTTTAACAGACAATTTGGAGGAAGTCATCCATCCTAGGCAGTAGTCTGGAAATTCCCAAGATATACAGGAACCTGCTTGCAGGCCTGCCCCCCGCCTCCTGAGGCTTGGTTCTAAATCATTTCCACATAATTAGGTCCTGAGCCACATAAAGAGTTCTAACCAAGTCTTTCTACGTTCTGACTCAAAAAAGACTTCAAACTTGCTCTCACAAAATGGAACTGTTTAAAGGTTTACTTATAGGTCTTCTGCCTATAATACTTCAACAAAGGCTCTGGGAATGTGAAAAAAGATGATTTGAGAAATATTAATAAAGTGAAACTTGGTTGTTGCTTGAGAAAGAAAAGAATCAATGTGGGTTTTGGGTGGTGGTTGCTTTTAGTGAGACAGAAAAAAAAGTTTGGCTGTATAGTATGAGGAGATTATTAGTCATTTTGAACATGTAATGTTTTATCTGCACGTGTGACAGTAAAGATATCTAGAGGCAGGAATTCTGAGAAGATGGCCAACTGGTAGCAACTCTCGGCAGAAGCTCCTGAGCAGAGGAAGAAAAACTGGACAGAATTGGACTCTGTGAAGCCAAAGGTGGGGAGCTGGACAAAGAAAGAAGTTCAGTAAGCTGTAACTCCAAGGAAGAGCATTCAAGAAAAACAAATTTCAGGCACACAGCCTATTGACTATAGGATGGAAGACCCCTCCCCTAAGCAGGAGGCCTGCTGTAGGCTATCTGCAAACAAGCAGGGAACAAAAGACCTCTTATTTTACCTTGCTGGAGAGAGCTGCTAAACTCCAGGTCTCTTTCTCCAGGCAGGTCCCCTTATGAACTAGACATAACTCTGCTGGGCATAAAATTGAACAGATACTTTCCCCCACAAGTCCAAAATCCCAGTCCACCCTTCCCCACTCACATGGTCTGAAGTTCTACCCCTTGCAGAGCACAGAGTGTTTGGTCTTGTCCTAAGAGATCTGGGCGTAGTGTGGAACACTAACCATCAGGATGGACTCTGTGACTAAAGGGGAAGAAAGAGGGTGTGGGAAGAAAGGGACACTCAGCAGGTGGAAGAGCTGTCCCATGCTTATGATGCCACCCAGCCAGCAGTGGTGTTGACCCTCAGTTTGGGCTGTGTCTGGAGGGACAGCATGCAGAACCCCTGGCTCTGATGGCACCCACAGTGGGAGAGTGGTTGCCCTGTGTGGACTGAGTTTGGCAAACAGGGCTGGTCCCCAGCCCCTGCTGGGCCTATGAGCAAAGGCTTGCTAGGTGTGGACTGAGACCTGAGAGCAAGGGTGTGGTCTCCTGATTCCAACAGAACCCTGGAGCAGTGGCTTGCTGGGTGTGAACAAAGACCTGAGAGGTAGAGTGTGATCCCCTATCTCCAGTGGGGCTGGTGAGCAGAGGATTACTGGGTGAGTACTGAGACCTGTGGGTGGGATAGGGTACCCTGACTCTAACAGAACCTGTGAACAGATGTTTGCCAGACAGGGGACTGAGACAGGCACACCACCTTCCTAGACTCAACCAGAAAGAATTAGAAATCTTGAATAGACCTATATCAATCACTGAAATAGCATCAACAATATGAAATCTCCCCAAAAAGAAAAGTCTAGGACCAGATGGCTTCACATCCAAATTCTATCAAACCTTTCAAGAGGCACTAGTACCTATATTACACAACTTTTCTAAAGCATAGAAAAGGAAGGAATACTTCCCAACACATTTTATGAAGCAAATATAACCCTGATACCCAAGCCAAGAAAGGATCCAACAAAAAAATTAAATTATAGACCAATATCATTAATGAATATCAATGCAAAAATATTCAATAAGATCTTAGCAAACAGAATTCAACAACACATCAAAACAATTATACACTATGATCAAGTTGGTTTTATTCCAGAGTTACAGGGTTGGTTCAACATATGCAAAGCTATAAATATAATACATCACATCAATAAAATAAAAAACAAAGACCATATGATTTTCCCAATTGACACAGAAAAAACGTTTGATAATATCCAGCATCCTTTCATGATCAGAACACCTAGGAAAATAAGCATAGAAGGGACATTTCTTAAACTGATAGAGGCCTTCTACAGCAAACCCACAGCCAATATCATATTGAATGGTGTAAAATTGAAAACATTTCCACCCAGATCATGAATGAGGCAAGGATGCTTGCTGTCTCCACTGCTATTCAACATAGTAATGGAAGTCTTAGCCATCACAATCAGGCAATAGAAGGTGATCAAGGGTATCCAAAAAGGGTCAGAGGAGATCAAACTCTCACTCTTCACTAATGATATGATCCTATACCTGAAAAATCCCAGGGACTCAACTTCGAAACTCTTAGAAGTGATCAAGGAATATAGCAGCATCTCAGGATACAAAAGCAGTACTTAGAAATTAGTAGCTTTTATATATGTCAACAATAGTTAAGCTGAGAAAACAGTCAAGGACTCTATTCCTTTAACAGTAGTGCCAAAGAAGATGAAATATCTGGGAATTTACCTAAAGAAGGATGTGAAATTGGTCTTTTTAGTTGGATGCAGCCCAATTAATAATAGCCAAGACATGGAAACAGCCCAAGTGCCTATCAACCCATGAATGGATTAACAAATTGTGGTATATATACACCATGGAATACTATGCAGCTATAAAAAGATGGAGATGTCGCATCTTCTATGTTTACCTGGATGGAGCTGCAACATTTTCTTCTTAGTAAAGTATCTCAAGAATGGAAAAAAAAGTATCCAATGTATTCAATACTACTATGAAATCAATATATAATCAGCTACACACTCAGATGAATGGCAAAACATAACTATAGTCCAGAAAGTAGAAGAGAAGAGAAGGGAGAGGGGAGGGAAGGTGGGATATGGGAGGAGGGAGGGTATTTGGGGGGACCTCACCTAATGTGCATGATGCAATGGTACATTTCAAAACTAATAAGAAATGAGTATAATTGTGATGGATGTGTTACTTAGTTCAATGTAAGCATTTCACATTGTATATTGAAGCAGTACCCTGAACCCCATAAATGCATCAATGTACAAAGTTATGATTTAATAAAA